CCGAACTGACCGGCCGCTGGTCGCCCACCTGCGAGCAGCCAATCTCCATGGTGCGCAGGCGTTTGTAGAGCTCCTGCGTCGTCCCCTCCCTCACCTCCAGCGGAAGGTCGCGGTAGCTCCTGGCCTCGGCCAGCCGCTGAGACGCCCTCGGCAGGGAGTACTCTGCAATGGAGTAGCGGGCGCGGAGCAGGGCCTCCGAGCCCTCGTGGTACCAGGTGCTCTTGCTGGCGGCCTCGGCCTTCTCCTGGTCGGCGGCCGATTTGCCCTCCTCTTCGCCCTTCATCTTCTTGAGGGCATCGACGCCGAGGCGAGCGAGGAGCTGGCGAAGACGCTCCCTTCGATCGGCAGGGTCCTCGCCGAAGAGGCCTAAAAAGATAGAAAAAAATTAGAAAAAGAAGCTTTANACGCCGAGGCGAGCGAGAAGCTGGCGAAGACGCTCCCTTCGATCGGCAGGGTCTTCGCCGAAGAGGCCTAAAAAGATGGAAAATTAGAAAAAGAAGTTTATAGAAACTTAAAATAACTTACACATCGGGTGATTGAGATTCCGCAGATGCGCCCGCACCTCGACNAGATAGAAAAAAATTAGAAAAAGAAGCTTTAAAAATAGAACTCCAACTTACACATCGGGTGATTGAGATTCCGCAGATGCGCCCGCACCTCGACATCATCCGTGCTGACGGCAATGGAGCGGGCCTTCTTTCGAAGTTCAAACGCCTCCAACTGCGACTGCCGCTCCACGGCGTGGATGCCACTGTCCGGAGAGATCTCGTAGTACTGCTTGCTGGTGTGGATGTTCGGCCCCGAGTGGGTGACAGTGATGGAGGCGTTGGCATTTGTGGAGNTCCCGAGTGAGTGACGGTGATGGAGGCGTTGGCATTTGTGGAGGTGGAGTTTGAATTCGAATTTGATGATGAAGATGAGGAGCCGGCAAAGCCGCCGACGGTCGCCTCCAGCGAGCCGTAGTGCACGTGCTTGGCCCGTTTCACCACCACGCCCTCTTCGTCGCCCATTTTTGGCAAGAGTTGTGGAGTTCTTTGAAAGCAAAAAAAGAGTTTAAGATTTTGGTTCCAGAAACTTTTTTGGTTGACCGGCAAAAAGAGAAAAGCGCAAACTTCTTCAGCAGCAGCAGCAGCCGTAAACAAGTGGGCACCATCGATAGCACCATCGGTACCTATCGATTCAAGACTGGTAGCGCCCCCTTTGCCGTGTGCGGCACTTTCTTTCTCCTCTTCTCTTCTCTTGTCTGAGCATCTTTCATTTGGCTCGCTCTCTCCGCTGATCACAACACTCACATTGTCTGAGGGTTTCTATTTGGTATCTAAAGAATCTGGTTCGGCTGAAGAATCCTGCTTACGTTATCGAATCTGAGACGACTGATCCTCGTTACACTTCAAGAACCAGAACCAGAAGTCTAGTATCTTCGTAGGGCATCAGTACTCTCCCTCGATGGGCGACTCTGACGACGAGTACGACCGGCGCGGCCGAGGCCGGGACAAGTTTCGCCGGGAGCGCAATGACTACGCCGACGCCCGTCCGCCGGTCGATGTCGGCGGCGGTGGCCCCGGTGGTCCTGGTGGGCCTGTCGGTGGCAGTGTTGGTGGTGGCAGCCTGGGCGGTGGCCTCAGCCGCCGCAACGACTGGGGCGACCGGTAAGTGTTCACTCTCTTGCTTCCATTTCGAAATGCCTAACCTTTCTACTAACTTCCCCAGCAACGACCCACCCAACAACTCCGCCAGCATGGTCGGCGGCAGTGGTGGCACCGGAGGAGGAGGAGGCGGCGGTAATAGCTGGACCTCCTCATCAGGTGGCCTAAACCGAGGAGGCGGAGGCGGTGTTGATCGAAACCTGCCACCTCGAAGAGACAACTACGGCCGCGACAGCTACGGCAGCGGCGGCGGTTCAATGGGCAACCGTGGATACAATAGCGGCGGCGGAGGAGGCTACAACAGTCGAAACGATCGCTACTCGCCGGCGGATCGCACCGGCGACATGAGCCCGCCGTCCAAGCGAATGCGTGGTGGTGGGCGTGACTGGGATGACCGATATCCAAACTATGAACTGGGCGGTGGTCATCATTCGGGCGGTGGTGGTGGTGGACATTACGGAGGATCCAGCGGAGGAGGAGGCGGTGGATACCAGCACCACCGAGATGAAGATGAGTAAGTGTTTCTAAAAAGGTTTCATCTGTGTTTCTTCTACTTTGGCTGACACATTTTCTTTTTGTCCGGTAGACTGCACCAGCCGCCGATGCTGACGCTGAAGCAGTTCCTCCTCGACCAGGACGACAACATAGACGAGGAGACGCTGCTGAAGAAGTACAACGACTACAAGAGCGACTTTCGCCGCACGCAGCTGCAGGAGTTCTTCAACCGCCACAAGGACGAGGAATGGTAAGTGGTGGCAATTTGCACTTTGTTTTGCTGTGTTTATGATCGTTTAAGCTTGGACAAGCTTCACTTTGGTGGTCAAACAAAGGAGGACCCACTGCGCAGCGGATGGTCTGTGGACTTTTCCTAACCTAACCTAACACACTGGCCCCAAAAACTCCCCAAATCTCCCCTTTTAACTCACCAAACGTTTTCTCAAGCAGCAGCAGCAGCAGTCAAAGGTTTCGGCAAAGAGATGAAGGAGCACCCGCCTCTTTCTCTCTAATAGTTTCGTAGCTTCTCTCTCTCACTCACACTTTAAACTTGTGCCTAAACACTTCGATATTACCATTACCTCCTCTCTCTTTCACTCACCTCGCGCACAACCTCCTCTTTACTTGATTATACGATAATTTACTTGATTCTATATCTGATCATCACCACCAAACCACGTCGTCGCAATTGCTCATCCTTTTATGATGATTTGCGATTGCTTGATATGATATTGATTGATTCCATAACTTGAATTGCTACCACTCATCGGGACAGGGAATTTTGATTTGTTTTTGCATTTGATTTAATTTAACCTTGTGATCCTCGCATCCTCACACTCCTTTGTTTACTTTGTTTATCCTCTCTTTTGCGCTTTTGTGGCGGCTGCGGCTACCTCCCACCACACAACAGCAGCAATCGAAAGATCTGATGATGATTTGNTTGATTGATTCCATAACTTGAATTGCTACCACTCATCGGGACAGGGAATTTTGATTTGTTTTTGCATTTGATTTAATTTAACCTTGTGATCCTCGCATCCTCACACTCCTTTGTTTACTTTGTTTATCCTCTCTTTTGCGCTTTTGTGGCGGCTGCGGCTACCTCCCACCACACAACAGCAGCAATCGAAAGATCTGATGATGATTTGTAGGTGAGAATTTCCTTTAGAACACTTTTACCTTACTTTTTAAGCTATTTGTCAAAGATGTTGATGTTCAGTTTAGAGGGAAGAACGTAGGGAACTGTCACCTTTGAAACTGTTGTATCGTGATTGGCTTTTTACTTTAATTCCCACTTACTAATCCTCTTTATTTTTCTTACCCTCAAACCATCAAACTTTTATTCTAGGTTCCGCGTCAAGTACTTTCCCGATGAGATTGCGAAGCGCAAGGAGCGCCAGGCGGCGACCAACGCCCGCCGCCTGGCCGTCTTCATGAAGCTCCACGAGGACAAGTGGTTCGACGGCATCTCGCTGGACGTCGACCAGGCGGACGCCATTGTGCGGGTGATGGACGCCGTGGCCATCATGCTCGAGGGCGGCACTGACTTTGACCTGAAGGCCATCGACGAGGCGGCGGCGGAGGAGGCCGGCGGGCTGCCGCGGCCGAAGGACGGCCCCGGGTCGATCTTTGCGGTGGAGAGCGCCAGCGGCTCCAAGGCCAGCGGCGTGGTCGTCGCCCCGAAGGCGATTGACCTGAACCTCGCTGAGCAGCAGCAGCAGCAGGCGTCCTCAGCATCCTCAGCCAAGGGCAACGACTCGGGCCTGGAGGAGGAGAG